TATTCAAAGTCGATTTCATTTTTTTCAGTTTCTGTTATATTCGGTGAAGCACCTTTGGCCATTACTGGTGGATTTGTTCAGCTTACATTTTGTCCAGCTCGTTCATAAAGGATTTATCTATTATCCATAACACCAGCCAGTAATAACAAATGTTCTACACATTGGCTAAAATACGGACACATTTCCTGAATAATAGAAACATTAATGTAGCCTTAAACATTTTCAACTGGATGAAATCCTACTTGGGAAATGGAAGAAGAGATCAGTAGATTCTTCTTGCACAGAAGGATGTTTGCTACAATTCAAGACTTAAGCAAGCAAGTACTTATTTTCCGTAATGAAATTTCAGTCATGTACATTTAAAACGATTCGTAATTGTAAAGCCTGGTTAGAATATAACGAAAATATGTATTTCCTTGCTTAAATCGTGTTCTGAAATTATCCTAATAGGAATATATGAAGTAATCCAAGATTTCCTTCTGGCTGAATTCATCTATACCGATATCATGATAGTTATACGAAAAGGGGATGCTCAGAACAACAATTTACATTAGCCAAAATGTTCGGCTGTAATAAAAAAAATGAAAAAAGTCTTACCGTCAATCCTTGACCTAATAATGGGTGAAAAATAATTGTAATGCATAGGCAATTACCTCAACTGTACAAAGACAAGTATTCATACAGCTAAAATTCAAAATAGAAGAATTCATTTACAGCCAGTCGCATTATTCTTTGACTAAATCAGCACGCTTAGGCTAATGGATAAGGAATTACTGAAGCGATAATGATGATAATAATAATAGTAGCAAAATATTGCCAGTGACGTAAGTATTCTATAGAAAAATCAATTACTTACAGTGTAACTAGAGATATTTACATTGCAAGTGAGTGTTAATGTGAAATATTTCTATGTTCTATTAAAATAACTGAGTTCAAGGACATGAATAAAAATCAGATGCAACTGTTATCATTTTTTTCATATATTTGGGTTACCAGTGAAACATAGGGCTTCAAGCTAGAGCTCTAAAGATTCCGTATCGATGGCGTTTATTTTTGCGGGATGGGGGTGATAGTAAATCAAGTGCATCCGTGGCGGGCGATCAAACCCCGAACCACCTGAGTGTTAGGCGAGCATATTACCACCGTAATCATTATTTACCGACTATGATCTATAAGCGCGGTTACAATCAGTCATCACATTACGTCTGATTTGCACACTTCCCAATTAGTAACTTTGCTGTCAGCCATGAATAAGGAATTCCTCAAGCTGTTGTTTGCAGCTGCATTTCTACACGTTTTGTAGACATTTCCAACAGACAGAATTCCATCACATACGTCTTTTTCATTTTCGTCTCTCCATTCAACGCGTAGGTTCACATTTAGCTTGTTTATGACGAAGAATTTCACACTGCTTTCAAAAAGCAAACAATGTTATGAGCGAGAATATTTATTACTAGTAGGCAGAAAGCATAATGCCATTTCAATTCTGCATATCAAAATATTATTAGTACTCACCATTTATTGGTCGTCTGAAATAGAAATCATAATATCAACAGTTTACTAAGTCATCATTGAATATCACCATTCAAATAACAATGAAAGCATACGCAATTTATACGAAATAACACAGTATTCCTTCAGTATAATATTTGATTGGACATGAAACACAGATCCATATCGTGCAGTTTCACATCTGATATCCTTCATTTTCTTCCGAAGCTGGAGAGTGAAATATTCAGTAATTTGTCTTCAACTATGAAAAAGCCTGATGAACAGTTTGTGTACAGTGAAACACCACCCGGATTCAGAAAACAGCTACAGCGTTCCAAAGAGTTCAAAGCGAAATAATAATAACTATCAAGACGTACATTCACAAATATACTAGCTTAATTCGGATGATCTGATGACATTGAATTTTTAGAATACTAAGTGTGAATATACTACAACTTCTGAGTGGATTGAAACAGACTCCCAGCAAAAAAGAAACTGTGTCTCGTCTTAAACTTCAGTCGAATCTGTAACATGTCAAAAATCGAAGAAATTCGAACCATATGTGTAGCTGTATGTATCTCTACAAACAGGTATGGTTGAAATGTAGTCAAACTGCAGGAATATATAATTTTTAGCTTCAATTTTACGTCCAATGGTCATCAGTGTGCATTTCTCAACGTATGTGGAAAGCTTCACACCATAATCTGACCACACAATGATCGTTAAGACAATTTCTGAATTATTGTTCGACTGGTAGTCTATAAATTAGAATTAGAGAATGTGGCTAAAATTGGTGTGGCGGAAAAATGTCATCAGGCATCATGACATGGTTGAACCGTTCCCTGAATTTCACTTATATCTGTCGGTCAATGAGTACTCACTGAACTCAATATGGGCAACGAAAATACTTTATATGAATTGACATAATTCGTGTCAGTTGACTATCCTCATATATATATAAATATATATATATATATATCAAGAGCACTTTATGCAAATTTGGCATTAAACGTAAAATATTACAATGATCCTCTTAAAAGCGCAATTTCCTGAAAAAAAGATAAAATGACAGGAACATTAGTAGGGCATTTAATTATGGAACAAAATGAGAAACATACGGGAATACACTTCTGCAAAAAAGATTTGTAATGACAGTGATTATAAAAATAAACAAAGGAGTACAACGGAGGAGAGATAAATAGGTGACTTCAATGAGACGATACTCATTTATGCAGACATTTGGTTGATATCAGTTTAAATACAAAAAAGACACTATTCAGAGAATACGTAACACTGAGGGTGAACAAGCCAGAGACTTAAGATTATTATCCACTCATTCCTGTAATGCCATATATCCTTTAGCATCTGTATTGAATGCAGTGCTCGCCTTGTAGCATTTGATCACAAACACTTAGTCATTAAAGTGAAATCCAAGACAAAAGCTTCCCTTGAACATACTCATCGTAGTCACTTGAAAACAACAAAATGATTCGTTAATTATGTTTCGGCCAACTCAAGACATATTATCTTGCGTTGTATGAGAAGGCACAAGTTCAAAAG